TCTCTCTCTCTCTCTCTCTCTCTCTCTCTCTCTCTCTCTCTCTCTCTCTCTCTCTCTCTCTCTCTCTCTCTCTCTCTCTCTCTCCGTGACAAGAGCATCGATCTAGCGTCTGACACCTGAGGGAGGGTGACTTAATCGTGCGGCGCTTCCGAGCGACCTTCCCCCCCCTCCTCGCTCCCGACTACCCTCCCTTCTCAGTTGCTCTCTCTTGACTCTGTTCGCGAGCTCCCTCCACGTCCTTCGGGATCTCCTAGAGAGCGCTCTTGTCGGCGCGACCCTCGAAGATCTTGTGAACGTTCCTACAAGCACTTTGCGCTGGCTTTCGTTCCGTAATACACCCGGATTTCGTCAGGTGTTCTTGGTTCTTCGTCATTGGGAAGATATGGATACGAATAGGCACAACTTCGATGATCGGTCGGACACCCAGGAAGTCGAATGCATTACATCCTTCATCCTTCCGGACAAGTTTCAGATTGCAGTCGTAGCATTCTTCAAACCGATTAAGGATATACAACGCTGAGCGTTCGGCCTCCTCCTCAGAGCTATCCCATCCTACAAATTAAAAATAAACTCACACGCGTGCAGATAAAGAACCGGGCATAAAAGAAGAGTAGCTCCTGGATTTCTATCAATAGGTACTTCGACCAAACATTCGACTGATTGAAACCACATCTGTACTTCCCTGCTTGTCATCGCTAGGATCGTGCGATTCATTCGTACCCTCATACAACGACTAAGATCGGCGTCATGAATGCATACTGATATCCTGCGGCTCCATGGCCTTACCGCTGTTTAGGATGCATTCTCGAAGCTTGCCCGTCGTCAAGTCTTCACCGCAAGTCACATTACGGGAATTCTTCACAAAGCCCGAAGTTTCAGGTATCTCATCGATTTTTACCTTTACGTGGCGTTAAGATCTGGGCAAATCCATTGCCCCATAAGTACACTTCACCTTCCGTATACCTGCCCACGCTTGCTGGTTGTGAATAATTTGTCCAACGGCCCGCTTTCGACAGAATAGCACCCGAACCCTCACCGCGATGTACCTCGGCAAGTGTGGATCATTGACTATCCTCTCTATGGTCAGATCCCTCACATCCCTCGAGGCAACGTTGGTGGAAAAAGGTAACTTGACGCATGGCTTCTCCCGTATCTCAATCCTGTGGACTTTCCTGATTACTCGCATCACGGTGTTCTTCAGCTAATACCTTGCACACTTTCGCCTGAACGTACTTGGTGTCTTGTACAGCGCCAGTAACTCGGCCGTCCCCTTGCGGTAAAGATTCCTTACCCTCCATGGTAGAGCGAGAAGATGACAGAGTACGCATCGTCTATGCTCAATTGCTCATGAAGTCACCCTGATCCTTGTGACAGTGAATCTCCCTCTGGCTTCAGACACCCGTCGAAACATCGTGATCGGTAACACCTTACCTGCAACAAACACCATGTTGACCTCTTTCCCTTTTACCTCTTCTCCTCCTTGTCTTCTTACTACCCTCGCCCCTTCCTTGCGTGTTCAGCGCATGTGAGTGTCACTTGATCAATAACTTTTCTATTACCAAGGGGTCGCTCACTCGGACGACTACAGGTAGGATGAGATACTTGTCCCACCCAAACACCGCCAACCATGCATGAAGTTTAGGCGCATTAACCTTCCTACCATCAATAGCGAACTTGACGTGCTCAGACCATCTAAGGATAAAACTCCTCATCGTACATCCGATGTCTGTGTGTCTACACCAGCGACTCACTAACACATACACTCCAGCAGCCTTCGTAGATAGATCTCCTACATCCTCACTAAGCATTCCAATCCACTTCTTAGCCCATGGGCACTGATTCCTAATAACCAATAACACAATCAGACGGACAATCTCGTCCTCCTCACTAACCTTGAGTGAGCAAGGACTCCGAGATACTCTCCTCCCTCTATGTCTCATCAATCGTTTGAGATTGTCCATGATTACTTGCTTACCTGCCAGCCAGTGACGAGAGGTGCGCAGAGTCATCAACTTCACCGAAGGCTAGCTTCTCTCGACATCTGACTATTTCACTAACCGCCTGATCCTTCTTAGTCCATTCAATCCCATCTTGGTTACATATCTTCTTCAGTTCATGGGCTTTCTTCGCTGATAGCGATCGATGCGTTTCAATCACGAACTCTAGCATTTTACGACCAGAGTTCTCGTTTCCGATGCCCTTCCTTCTAGATGGTGGAGTACGCACCTCTTCAGGTACATCTTCAATGACGATGGGCGATGCTCTCGTTGCTTTGGATCTTGATGCAAATAGCTCTCTCCCACAATCAACCTTCCTCTTCCCTTTCCTTCTCTCTATAGCATCGAACAGACGACCGGCTTCCTCCCTAACCTGATCGCTCTCGTCTTCGGACTCATCGATATAACTGCACATCTCTCGGAGCATGCGCGCCTTCGTCTTCAGAGACTTCTTCCTTGGCGCCGACACAACACCTGTGTTCACTGACTTCGTATGCTGGTTCATTAGCCTCACTAGCCTTGCTTCCAAGCGTGCTTCTCTGGCTTCAGCTTTCCGCAACCGATCTGCTTCTCTCTTCTCTTCATCAATCTTCCTTCTTTGTTCTTCACGGTCCTTCTCGCGCTTCTCGTCTTCGATCTTTTGCTTCTGTATCTTCTTCCTGAAGTACATCTTCATCTCGTTGGTTTCATCATCCAATACCGGTCTTGACTGTTGTGGATGAAACTGCTGAGTTGGACGGTCGTTACCAGCCGCCCAGCAGTTGCGGGCATAGTGCCCCACCTTACCGCAAAGATGGCATGTCACCAAGCCATTCTGAAAGTTGGTCGGGTTCGCAGCCACCGAATTAATCCTAAACCCCGGAAACGGTTGCATTACCTGCTTAGGGTTCGCCATAGCTAGTTGTGTCTACGTAACTGTCTCCTTCTACGGTACCTCTGGTTTCTAATTAGGCACCCGATACTATGCACTCGACCCAAAACTACTTCAAATAGGCTAATAACTTCCTCGGTAGATTCATGATCCCTAAAGTGAAGAGCTACGAAAAAAGCTGGAGTGAGCTTATATTCGATCAGCCTTTGAAGTTCGATCCACTCCCGCTCCAATTCTAGATGCCTAAAGTTTCTCGTCGATAGCCCAAATGACCCTTCCCTAGAAACGAGAAAAGGAAGAAAAAAAAAAAGAAAAAATTATTTTTCCTAACGATGTTTCTCAAGTACTCTCCACGTTACCGATATACGTATGTCAAACGCCCATCCTCCTCGCATACCCCAATCTTGTTTACCTTGGATCAAAGCGCAACTGCTTAAGATGATGGCAAGAATACAGCCATAACTCACGACATTCCTAGCCCTCAACATCCCTAGTTGCGCGAACACTCGAAGACGATCACGCTCAAGGTCGTAGGTGTATAGCCTATCAGCCGAATCAGTCGAACCATGTAGCCACCAATCCTCTGTCTAAACACGCTGGTTAC